AACTTTCTGAATCGATCAGTGTACCACCATGTACTTTGGATTTTGCTATCCAAAAGGTACTGCTTGCCCCCATCATCCTATAGTGCAGAAGTAGCGGCCAATCACTTTCAGGTGTATGAAACATCGTCTTTGCTAGAAAACCCTCAAAACATAGCATCATGCCAGCAAAGCTTAGACTCAAGCTTAGAATTAGGCTTAGGCTTAGGCTTGAGCTTGGGCTTGGCTTAAGAGTTTGAAAAGGTTAAATGATCGGCTGATCGCTGTCGGCCACGTTTGGGCGTATCTAACAAATGACTGCATAGCGCAGATTTTTTGCATCCCATGGCCATTTATAAAGCAAAATTGTAATCGGCGATACACGTACATTTAGCCTTAAAATTTTTTCGTACCTGGTTGCAGAAATCCCCGAAATTATCCCTATTCAAGCAACATCTACCGCGACCCAAGCAAGCACCACATTGGCGACGCCGACGACATCTACGACGACGTCTTCAACTACGACAGCGGCAACCACGACGGAGCGAACTAGCACTAGCACGACGACAGCTAGCACGCTCACCGCAGCTGAAGAGACTACGGCCATCCCGGTCACAACCACGACGAGCGATTCATCTACAGACAGCGACGGCTACCCTGTGGTGAAATGCGTTGATTACGGTAGTTACTGTAGACTTTGGGGTGTACTGGACCTTTGTGATCGGCAGTCTGTGCTGAGTATTTGTATGAAAACCTGTCATCCAGCTTGCAAATCTTAAGCACATAGGTCTTGTTTAAGTATGGCACATTGTCACTTTGAATTACTGGTTAATTAGGTGTGTGACTTTCGCTCATTTGTATAAATGCAATATATAAACAACCAGGCTACTGGTTTCCACATTGCAATTTCTTTTTTAAATATCCACAATGATGTGGTTACTCCGTTCACATCATCGTTAAAAAATAAATGAAGGATAAAGGATTCGGCATCTTCAGTATCCTCTGCGGCATGCGCCGAACGTACACTACTGCATGGTCGAAGAGGCAATTGTATGCATGCGAGCCTATGACAGTGCTTTCGAGGCCACCTATTTTTCAACACAACTGGTCATCTGACCCTCAGATTTTCAGTAATATCACTCGACAGTGTAAAACTCTGGTTCAACTTAGACTTCAAATTCG